AAACAAAATTAAATTGGAAACAAAATTGTTTTCCATTTACCAGTTCAGGCAGAGGACAGATATCTGCAGTGTTGATGTAGAGCCCCTCCACTACAATGAACTTCCGGGTCACTCGAGCTTTGCGAGGATTCTGCAAGAGAAACATTCTTATTTGGAGATTTTTTAAAAACCCAATGAAAATAGAGAGAATATGGAAGCATTTAACATCCTGTACCACCTGTAACACCATTACAGCACATTTGTGACACTTGAGTTTCTCAAACGGTCCTAACCTTCAGGTCCTCTAGCTCCTGCTCCTTAAGCAACCTCTCCAAGTCCTCCATGTCATTGTGTTTGAAGTACTTGATTAAGCTGCGGGATGCCTGAAGACCTTTTTGTATAGCGAAACAGGCTGCTTCATCTCTGAACAGAAAATAACAGAGAAAACATTAAACTATGGAACCAAAATATCACACACTTGGAGTCAGTCAGACTTACACATTTGCAGGCAGGTAAATCAGTCTGTGCAAACAAAATCTGACTGACAATCACTTCATCCAGTCCATCAACATGTCTATGAAACCCCACCCCTACAAGACTCCTCAAACAATTCTTAATAGTAATTACTGCCTTTCAGTATTATCAGTTTATCTTTAATAACAGGTTACATATTACAGGCTTTTAATGTGGTTAAACCATTACTTAAAAAGCTCTTACATAATCCAGCTTAGTCAAATATAGATCAATTTCACAGACCAAAACCTAGTGAAGCTTAATAATCGTCTTATGGCTTCTGGCAGTGGCCTGAAAACGGCTTGTCCTGTTACACCTCAGTGCCGCATTCAACCGTTGATCGCAGCAGTTTACAGAGACTAGCATACACTGTTAGCTATAAAGCAAAACACTGTGCTGTTGTCTGACAGATTAAAATTTGTACATTTAAAGAAGAAGTCTCCTTCACATACAGAAGTTAGTCTTGGAGTTCCACAGAAAACTTTATGTTAGACATGCTTTTCTTAGGCAATTTATTTAAAAAACAATTTACACATTTCTGTTGCTGTACAGATGATACCCAGTTATTATCATCTAAAATGTGATCCAAAAGTTTTGAGCAGCCCATGATTTGAATGATTTGACTTTTTTTTTTAAATTATTTTGTTTGATCATATTGGTTCCTCAAAAAGCCCATCCTCGACCTGGCGGTAATTATTCATTTTTTCATCTAAAAACACTCCTCTTTTATTGATTGATCAGTTACATCTAGCTCTGGCTCATGTTTACGTGTAACTAGTTTCTGGGGATGGTATTACACTGACCTCCAGTAACACTTTGAGGAATCTTAGGGGCGTTTTCTTGTCTAGGATGTGTTCTTCCATATTCACATTAAACTAGTATGTAGGAGACTGCTCTAACACCTCTATTTAAAGCTTTCATTTGAATCACAATGTCACAGTAAGGGTACTAACATGGACTAGAAAGACACCTTAGACATGTTTCCTATTTTAGTTTCTTTTTGAGTCCCTGTTAAATCCAGAACTTAAAATGGTAAATGGCCTGTATTTATATAGCGCTTTACTAGTCCCTAAGGACCCCAAAGCGCTTTACATATCCAGTCATCCACCCATTCACACACACATTCACTCACTGGTGATGGCAAGCTACATTGCAGCCACAGCCACCCTGAGGCGCACTGACAGAGGCGAGGCTGCCGGACACTGGCGCCACCGGGCCCTCTGACCACCACCAGTAGGCAACGGGTGAAGTGTCTTGCCCAAGGACACAACGACCGAGACTGTCCAAGCTGGGGCTCGAACCGGCAACCTTCCGATTACAAGGCGAACTCCCAACTCTTGAGCCACGATCGCCCCATCTCTGAAAATCTCTGTCCTCACAAAGGCCACATAAAATAAACAAAACTAAAGCTAACTGAAGATTGGTTTAATTGAGTGAGGGGTGTTATATTGGTTTAATATTGGTATAAATATTATGAGAAACAACACTCACACAAAGATGATGTCACCCCTCTTGGAGTAGGCAGGTATTGCACTAGCAATAGTCGCAAAGCCATATGAATAAAGAATGGCCTCTTCAGTCTTCATGAATTTGGAGAGACGACTTTCCAGCTCCAGGTGAACATCTGGGGGCAGGGAAACATAACATTAGTTACTAATTGGTTACATTTTTTAGATGTCACTTACCATTACCTTTAGTATTTCTGAGTTTTTAGTGGATGTGGTTTAATCAGAGGTGAAAAACTACTGCACTTTGAAAGAAAGACTGTCAAGACACCAAACAACAGTATGATTTTAAATATTTGTGCTTGACTGAGAAAAGTCTCAGTTCATCACTTAGCATTAGATACATTCACTTGCTTATCCCTTGACAGCTTAACAAGGCTCATTAAAAAATATGATAGGGCTGTCTATCCCATTTATCATGGCAGAAAGACTTAAGGGTAATGACAAAATTATAATACCAAGAGAAAATCTGAGAAACTGCAAACTCCAGTGAACTTAATAAGATATACTTGGATATATAGTTGCGCGAGTGACTCTAAAACTATGGTTTGCTCTGAACAGTGAATGTTTCTTGGTGTGTGAAAGAAGTTGCCGCGGTGATGGAAAGTAAATGTCCATACTAAGGTAGAATGAGTATGACTATTGGTATTTGCTTTACTACTGAGGTTTCACTAATTCATTTGAATTAACTTGTTGCATGATCTGATGATTGAGTCATTAGGTCTTTTTCCAAAATTATCCTCCTTGTATTATCCCCAGACGGCTGGAATTTCGATTGCAAATCAACAGCTAACATATAAATGCTTAAGCTAACATAACGTAACTAATGTCATGCCCTGTAGTAATTGGGCTACTCAGCAGCCATCCTAATATTTCGGTTTTTGTTGTTTCAAAAAAATATAATGTTAAAATCTCAAATAAATAGTCTGACACCAATATGTCACAGATTTAAAAACGATCTTCAGTTTTCGTGTTTGCAACATCTTCTGAAAACCTGACCTCTGACTTTAAGGTCGATCCAATCTAAGACTTCTAAGAAATGGTGTCAGTTTAAAAATCCAACAAAAGCGAGTGGCCATGCCGCTCAGTCGTTTAAGGCTGAGCTATAACTGCAGAAAAGAAGTTGTCCTATAGTTAACCCTTGAGGTAAGCCACATTTCTGTATAAATGGGTTTGATTTCTCTGACAACACATCGTTTTATGTCAGCGAGATATTCATTCAAACCAAGAAAAGAATAAATTAAGGGTATATTTAGGAAATAATTAGATTATCAAAGAATTTAATTACTTTTCTTGCAAGTGTAGCTTAACATCAAATGGTGGAATGTTAATAGAAGACAAAAGTACCCCATCAGCCTTTTACAGCTGAGGGGTGAAAAGCTGAACTCACCAAAGGTCCCATAGAAGCCTCTTGGACCACAAGTGCCCACACCATATTTCTTCAGTGATGCCAAAGCCTTTTGCTGTAATGAAAAATGAGCTTATAATTCTAAAATGAGAACAAATTCAAGTTTTAATAAAACTCATTGACTGAGGCATACTGTCAATGTCACACTGTGTTTGTGCATAATTCAAAGAATTATTGTTGCTAGCAATAATACAACTTAATAGTTGCTTCTGATAAAAACTGCACTGCCCACTGGGCAAGTCATTCACTGGGCACACCTAGCTGTGTGTGTGGCTGTTTTAAATGAGGGATTTTCCCTTCAAAACATAAATGTTGCCTAGATAAAGATTTAGGTATAACAGTAAATGGATAATTTAGCACATTAGAGGAAGAACATATCGTACTGAAATTACAAGGTTGCCTTTAAATAATAAATACTGACCTTAACCCGCTCATTATCAAGGAGACCCAGGAAGTTGAATGATGCAAAGTTTATGCAGTCTTTTCCATTGATTGTGATTTTGTGGCTGGGAGGGCTGTAACAAAATTTTTTGCATTTGAATCTTTATTTTATCATCTTACATACTCAAGGCACAAATCTGATATTTACAAAAATCTGATATTTTCATTTTCATCCAAGCTGTCAAGATGTAATTTAAGTTCAGATTGATTTTTTTTTCCTTTTACTTTTTCTCGAGTATATGAAAAATATTATCATTTAGTTTGAGATCAAGTAAGTGACTCAGTCATTTACAAGTATTCAATTTTTGCCTGAATAAGCCCTTGGCCTGCTTTTGTGAAGGTAATTTAGCTGAATCTCAAATGCTACGGCCTTCGTATTATCCTGCTACTATCAGCAGTCACACAGCAGTTTTAGATATTATATAGCAAAGACTAACCCGGGCTTCCTGTTCTCGAGCATAAGCAGTGGTTTACACTTTGTTTTAAGTCTTCATTCATTATAGTGACTTTTGATTATAGACTTTGGCAAAGATATGCTCTCTACATCGAGTATACTATTTGAATAGATAGTGTCATGTTTTTTCTTAACCAAGGAAAGACTTCTCCAGTGATGCTCTTCATCTTCTGTGGTCTTTTAGACATTTCCGTCTGTCTGAGCTTGACCAGTTAACTCCTTGTTTGTATGAATGTGCTAGATAACTGATTTGGCCACTTTAAATTTTTGGATATCTACCTGATAGATTTATTTGGGGTTTTCAGCTTAGGCATCTCTTGATACAACTGCCTATTACTTACAGTTGTTCCTTACTTCCCTACCTGTTTTTATTGTCTTTTTGATATAGCCCTGTTAAAATCTTGTACCATTTCTGATGGGTATGTTTAGCAACTTAATTTTAGCCTCTTACCCTTGCATAAGCTTTGGACTGCATATTCAAAGCACCTATGATCACCATGTGTGGAAAGGCAAAAAGATAAAA